GTACTTAGTAAATTCATCTACCCTGATGATGTAGGAATTAAAAACTTAGTAAGTTATTTTCATGAATGTTGCCTACTCATAATTTACATAGAATTACAACCCGTCTCATATGTTAGTCTCCTCCTCTTCCGTCTGCTTCATCACTTTTATTACTTTCATGCTATTACACTTTCTCTCATTCTCTTTCACTTATCCTTGCAAATTAGTTACATGTCTTTAATACATGGCGGGTAGGAGGCTGTACTGACGATTCCCACTCTTACCCGCATGCATTGTTCGGTCTGTGTATACAGCTAAGGGATGAAATACAGACTGCATCGTGAAATGTCTTCTTATACATGACACCTAATTCCAATCTTCTTACTCCATTATTATTATTACATTTATTGATTTTGTTTTGCACGAATTCTGTAGGCTTCGAACAGGATCTGAGTATTTGGCATGTACTTTCGTTCGTTTGCAGCTTTCCAGTCAAAAATCTCGCACAGACAAAAACACGAGAAAGTGCCACGGCAAAGGTGGCAAGCAGCGAGATGAATCTTCCGAGAGTGCTGGCGAAGGGGCCTCCGGCAAAGGCAGCTCGTCGACGTCACAGCCTTCAAAAACTGTTTCTGAAACAGAACGACTTGAGCAGTTCGCAAGATTCTTGTGAATTTCCATCCGTTTTTCAAGATTTCTTCTTTGTTCTGTAGCAAGCCTGGTTATGCGCCATGTTTGTCAGCTCGCAGTTAAACTGACCTCTGTAAATACATTCACTTTGTATGATGATTAAAAGTGTGGCATTTGAAAATCTGTAGTAAAAATTGAATTGCATTGTCAAGTTGTATGATGTTTCAGGATGCTTTAAATCCCATAAAATAATTCGCTTTTTGTTTCCTGTTAAATAGCTTTATTTCGATTGCTTTCACTATTAAACTGTTTGCATACAGTCAAAAATTTCGAGTTTCCATTAAAAATGTGTTTATGTCCAGCAGCCAGTAGTGGAAATTTGAAATAATTTGTGCTTTTAGGTGAGGGGCCCCCAGCAGGGTGAGTTATCAAGAAGGGAGATGTTTTGGTGTTTGCTCTCACATTTATTTGGGTGGTAGCAGTATCGCTTCTGTTATTCAACAAACTTCGTGTTGTTGAAATATGTCAATATA